TCTCGCATAGTTCTGGGTCGCCTAAGCATTTGCCACGCAACCACGTTTGCTAATAGGTAGCAGAATATATTTAAATTTTAAGGCAAATCGCAATTAACTTAGCACTGGTATCGAAAATCTTATCTGTATGCAACAAAATAATCGTCGAAAGTAATAGGTTTGTGACTAATTTAAGATCCTCTGGTTAATCCAAAATCTACTCATTTAATCGAAGGTATGAAGACAAAGATGGTATTGCCTTTTGATTGGTTGCAGTTTCCTTTCGGGGCGTTCCTCTAGGTCTTCCTACCAATATAAACAAGTTGCGGAAACAAGATCAAATATCTTATCTACTCATTTAATTTACAGTAATGCTAACGATTGTAATGAGATTTTAGGAAGCCCTGTTTGCTTAGCTTCTCATTCGTCACGTCAATCGCTGGCTGTTATGAAATTTGGCGAAGTGACAATATGCTGACACTTGACTCACACGACCAGGCTTCGAATCTCGTTGAGAGGGCTGAAAAGACTCAAGTGGGGTCAAATCTATAGTCCTATCTGGTTAAGAAATGCTTCTGTGAAGCAGGGCTATCTAAAATTTATTAAAGTCTTCAATTATACTCCGTACATTTTGGAAACTTGCACTATCTGGCTTAAATGGCATATACATGAATTTATTTATATATTCGTATCTAAGCCGATATGCCGGTGAATTCAATTATCCCCCTCATTTAAGATTGGATTCCAATTATCCGTCAATCGTCTTAGAGACCAAAAGTGCCTCAACTTATTATTTAAGGTAATCTGAGAGTTTCGAGGCCCAAAATCTCCCCATAAACATGCATATATACATATATATATATATGAAAGTATGCAAATATAAACAAACACATAAGAGAGTTATTTGGATAAATTATGAGAATTTTGAGATGACTTTCCATTTCGAAGGAAAAGTTGGTTGAGAGGAATTCGTAAAATGGAGTACTGGAAACCGAAGGAGGATTGGCATAAAGTGAAAACTCAACAAATATATTTTTGAGATATTTCGTAAAGTATGGATTCTTGTTCTAATGATCTCTGTCACAGTAGGGGCGAAAGCACAAGTTCATACAATCCATCAGTCTTTACTACTAGGCAATACTTTTTTGGTTTATGGTGAGACCCTTTGACGAATTCCTTTTATTAATATCTTCTTCGAAACGGAAATTTATGTCACAATAAATCACTAGGGAATTCTTTAAAACCTAGTTTTTTTCATAACTTGTTATCAGTTTGAATATTATCTTCAAGGATATCAATCCAACGTAGTTAGTGGCAAGGTGTGAAATCTTCTTTAGTGACACTTTGATGACTGTCGCCGAAGCAGCTCTAGCAAAGATTTATGAAGTTTCTATACATTCGGAGGAATGTTCACGATAATTGCTGACTGAGAAATACAAAGTCAATAGAAGAAGATATAAATATGAGATATAATCGACATATTTCGTTAAGGCGATGAAGGACCAGTGAAATTTTCTACATTGCTATGATTGGACATTACGTTTCCATTGAATTTTACATTGCCTTATTTCACAAAAGGTATTCTCATCTCGGCTGGGGTAGACTGAAGTTTCAACCTCTCATGGGCCTCATTAGAACCTTCAGCGGTACTCAAATCCAGGTTGTAATAGTACAGTGCAGAAATGAATTTCAAGGAAGGCAAGGCATTTTCCATACCACATTCTGTGGTGGGATTGTGAATAAAGCAAAATTTTACTTGCAATCGACTAGATTAATTAGTTTTTGTTTAAAAGTATATTTTTAAGACTACCAGAACTATCAGATGATTATTTCAACTATCAGTCTTTCATCAATTTAACAGAATGAGATAAGGACATCTCACATATATGATATACTTGTAGTCTCGAAAACCTATTTATAAATGAAAAATAGGTTTTATAGTCGATCGTCATAGTGAATACAAATTTTCTTCATTGAAAATCCCACGACGAAATGGAGTATGGAAAAATGCTTTGTTTCCTTGAAATTCATATTCACCCTGTAACCTAGGGGCACTCGTGGTAGTCTGACGCAGAAGTTACCACGCCGAGACTATGATAATTCGGGTTCGAGTCAGGCTTGGGGCGCTTATGAGATATAGACGAGGAGAAAGCTACTGTCTAATCCATTCTGGATGTAAATATCTTTTGGGAAGCAAGATTGTGTGTAATACAACGGAAGCGTCAAGTCAATTCATATCATTATGGGAAATTAATTTAACCTATCATTCTTTCATTCCTTCATTACCCTTACGAAATTGGGTGAATGCATCTATTATATATGATCTAGTGACATTTTCACAAACTAAAAACCAGAGGACTTATTCGTCCGGCTCGAAGACTGTCTGGGTATGAGGAAAATGTTTTGAGCATGCTCCTGAATTGAGGCTAATATCTTCAATGGAATAATGTATGAGACATTTTTCCATCTCTCTTTTAGTCCCCTGTACTCCCTTGTCACGAGGGCTGGAGTGGAGATAACGCTTGTCGGTTCGAAGGTCTTATAGACTGAGAATGATATTAAGTTCAATGTATTTATTAATATAACTATTTTATTCTTCAAGATCATCTTCACTACACCTATTTAAATCCAAAATTCACATAATTTTGTGAGATTATGTAGTAAGTTGCTTGGCCCAAGGCTAAAATTAATATTTTATGTCTACTGTAATGTCTTATCGTAAGAGAGAAAAAACTTATTGCCATGGCAACAGGCTGGTAAGCGCTAAAGGGGGTTAGCAACAGACTGAATGATGGATGCGGGTGGTCTGTTCCGCCTATTTCGATTATGTCATCAGTTATTGCTAATAACATGATTGTGTCTTGAGAGACCACATTTTCTTGGCATCCAAACGAGGTTTCTAAAAATGTGTATACTATCCTCCACCGTTGACAATTGTACCCAGCTCCAAAAAGATACCATAATGACGCCGAGCATATTGCATCAAGAGGCCTCTTGGGGCTTCTGCATCCGGAAAGTCGGCATTCATTATTTGCACTAACCCCCAGGACCGAATTAATAATGGGGAAAATACGGTCATGATTCCCACACTAAATTGAAACAGATAACAACTCGTGAACATTTTACTTATTTTACAGCTTCGCTTTGTGCAATTTATATTGAAACCAGAAAGGCATCATTTGAAATCGGAAATACAAAACTCGTTTGTGCGTCTTTCACTCTGAGCAGCCCTTTTTTATGGGCCAAACATAATATCAGCTCTAAGGTTTGGCACAACCTATCTTCCTCCGTCAGCATCGCCTCGGAACTGTTCACGGTCCTTGATTCGAGGCTCACCAAACTTGGGCTGTTGACAGAACTAAACAAGTCAAGAAAGAAGGCTCTCTGGAGTGCACTTGTGGCCAGCTATCTGGACAGTCCAAACAAAATGATCCAGGGCATGGATGGGCCAAAAGTTCAAAGAGTCCGTTGGAGCAGAACGAACTTGGATGAGCATCGGTTGTTGTCCTAACCGGCTCTGTTATTTCATTAGTTCCACGTGAACTAGAAATGCTATTTTTACTAATTGTAGTGAGCATTCTTCTTCCTCTCGACTTGCGCAGTGAGGGGAGGGGGTTGACACAAGTGTTTGGATCAATTAGTACCGGGAAATCACCCATCGCAATGCCAAAATGACTACTAGACCGTGCGACTAATACTAATAAAAGCAGGCTTTGTAAAAACACAACGAAGCCGATATGAAAATGCTTTAGGTGAAGAGGGGCCATGTACAAGTTAGATGGCCATCGGTCAGTTGCAAGCCGAGCCTGAAGACCGAGTGAACTCGAGTTTAGGCCGCTACGAGGAGGCAGCAACCAGGGAAAAACGATCAGGTTAACCGAAAGTTAATAAAAAAAATTAGTGAGACAACAAATGACCAGCATAAATTGGGTATGCCCTGGGGAAGAGATTTGAAGGCAGAATGTAAGGAGAATGAGAAGAAAGAATAAAAATAATGATGAAAAGAAGAAGAAGAAGCAAAAAGACGAGAAGAAAAGAATAGAGAGAATGAGCGGTATGAGACATAAGCGAGCCGATTTGTTGGCAAAACACGAGATAATCTTCGAGTGGAACTTCTAAAAGCC